AGTTTGAAAACAAGAATTTGGTGAAAGAAAAAGTGGTTTGATCGATCTTAGTTAAACATATTAACGAGTTCAAATCAGTTTTCAGAAGTCTTGCGTGTCAGGTCTACTTATTGATTGATAAAAGATTRGTACATTTTGGTTTAAATAATTGTCTGTTTGAAATATCCTTATACATATTCATTAATATCTAACCTATGAACAGAAATAGGTAACTAAAAATGTATGGATAATTTATTGATTTATGCACATTTGACTTTTGAATGTTTATAATTTTGTTAAATTAATAGGGATATATGAATATTGAATTGTAGTTGTTTATCTCAATTCAATTTTTTGTTTTGAATTGCACCTATAAATAATTTATTAACATATTTTAGTGAGTTATAATATTTATGAGCGTATTGGAATCAAATTAATTATAATATATATATTATAATAATAATTAATAACTATATAATTATGTACACTCTTCACCATTTTATGACTTCGCTTACCTTAATCATCACTATTTTTTTGCCAACAGGAATAAATCTAAAAATTCTTTCACTTGTCACTTCCCTTAATATCGTGTATACTTTATATTACCATATTATTATTGTTACAACTGTCAAATTACGTTTTTGTACTTACAGATCCACTACCCCAAAGAGGTGTTGGACGAATGGCAGCAGAGACCCCAAAAACTGGTGTGCCGTTACATAAAGAAATACCTGTCAAAACGGGGCTTGATATTAAACAACCATTGCGGGTCGGTGAACGTCAAGAGCCCGAGAAGGTTCAAGCTCGTCCAACAAGAATCTGAAAGTTATGACTAAATCAAACAATACAAAATAATACGCTTTCGGATGTGCGCCCAAACACAATACGTCTATATAATATTAAACCATAACTGTGTTGACGATAAAATACTACCTATCTATATACATGATAATATTAATACAATTTACGCGGGTTCGTGTTAAAACAACGCTATTTTATTCCAATTTTCTTCTTTTTTAAGACTTTTTTCATACTTTCTATCATTATATTATATCTTTATATCATACACTCATATAATATAATACATACCCCATTAAATATTATATTATATGATATATCATACATATTTACCCTACTCTTAACATATTTTTGAATGTTTTGTATATTAACAATATATGTATTAAGTAGCTTCTTTATAGTAAAAACTTAGTGTATTAGCGATATTCTAACTGGTAGAAAACTAAAAACCTATACATATATACGATTTACATATTACATCATATTGGCTGGTTTTACTAAAGTATATAACGGCTAATTGTTTGGATTGAAATATATATATATATATTTATATACTTAGTCGATTATAGTCGTACGATTGTATTTGAACTTCACGTCTTCAAAAAATATTCCATCTYTTATCTATAAAAATGATTTACATGTTTCATTATAAAACCGGTATTTCAAACAACATTTAATTATCGTTTATGAATCTTTTGACTACATTATTATTGCTCAAAATTTGTTTGCACGTAATTCCAAACACCAATATGTAGGCAACTAAATGATACAAATAAAACAAACGCCTTGTATTACACACATGCCAAACTCGTAATAAATGTAATTAATTTAAACTATAAATAATAATATTAACACATTTTAGCAAATTTATAGGTATTATCAAAAACTAATTTTAGTATGCTAACCAAGGCACTGTTAAGTGTACTGACTATTGTTACACAATTCTAGTTTAGTTAAAATAAATATTTTTTAATTACTGATTTAGCAGATCATGATATCTATTATTGGACTTTTTTTACAATCTATATTGTTTATTATAATACAAAATGACCTTCTTGTATTAGTTGTATTAATCATTATTTGTAGAGGTGATWGTTAATTGTATTTTAAAGTTCAGTATAGACTCGTATATAAGATCGTTAATTATTTTTCCTGTACATTTTATGTAATTACAAAAACCATGAGAACTGTACATTATATAAAACGCACAGTAAAGTTTTGACTCAATGTAAAATTATTTTTAACATAGAATAACTATTTATTTAAGTGTAACATATTCAACCATATATTATAATTATTATTAGATCGTCAATTTTGTATGTTATTTAGTTAGAGCATTTATAAATCAAAAATTTATAGACTAGATTAATTTAATATTGCCATACCCATATAATATATATATATATAATAAAAAAAAAAAAATGTAAATTAACAACCATTACAAATAATATCATAGATATTGTATACATTTTATAACTAAATATATACAAGTTTGATAAAAAAAAAAATATACATATATATATCACAGTATATTATTATAATATCAGAAAACTATTTCAACAAAGATTTATACTGTTAGAGTCAGTAGGTACCTACTAGTACAACCGAGTTCAGTTGTAAAAGGCAGTTCATTATTGTGACTAAAATCCACCCTATTCATAAGAGACTCATTTAAAAGTTACACTGTCCCATACAAAGCAGCTTACTTCGCTAGTTCGCTCGCGGCAAACCACAAAACTKTCTGATGTTACACAAATGTATTTTTCACATTTTTACATGTATATTTTTCGGTAAMAGTCACTGTTTAATGTTCACAGAMATTTTGATTACACTCGTGCGTACATTTTAACAATACGTATATGAAAAGGTGAGTAATTTGGCACCACAAATGTCGGGTGGGTTACTATGATAGCTAATGTGTCAAATTTGAAATCAATTATATAAAATTATTATTGTATATTTGTATACCTACAAAAAAATATTCTAAGCGAAGACGGTCTGTCAGCATGTATCTTAAATTATCCTACATTATTATTACTATATTATATTATATAGTAACACATATATTTTATGTTATTATTGGTATTAAAGTAATTTGGTTAACAATTAAATATTGGTAGGTAGGTATTGGTATATTACTAAATACTAATACAGTAGATAAATTTAATTGATTTTTGCTGAAAAATTGAATTTGAAAATCTAATCGTGTGATACATAAAATAAAATAATACATTTTAAATAAGGTTTCAAATAGGTGTAAA